GTCTGTGCTCCACATGAGCAGAGCATACCCGCTGATAAAGGCGGAATCTCCAATGTGTTTCAATAGAATATGGAGCTGATGCAGGAGGTCTGGAAACCTTAAATGGAGATGCAGGAAACTGTCCAACAGAAGATGGAGAAAAGCAAGAGGCTAAGGTCGAAAGAGAAGGGTGAAGATTGGCCATATCCATCTTCAGTTCCATGGAATTTCGAATACCTGCAAAAATTGAACATCTAAGAAAAAGAGGTTCTATGAGATCTCTAAGAGCCAAAGAAAGAAGTCTAACTTCCTCAAGCAAGGCATTTATTTCCTAAAAATCCCAGCAACAAACCAACCAAGAGAACAAAAGCTGATAACCTTACCAAAGTAGAATTCAATAAATGACTAAGATCCTCTGAAAATTGAACAGGTGACCTGTGATAGGCCTCAGACAAGAGTTCCAAAGAAGATAAATACAAAATTGTTGTAAGGGACATACGAAATCGGGAAAACTGAGTTTTGTTAAGACGAACAGTGGCATCAAGCCTAGAACCCCAAATAGGCAGAAGATGATCTAAACTCTGAGAACCCAAATATGGGTTCTCCACGCATTGGAAAGCTAAGGCATGCCAATCTGACAAACAGGGAAGACAAGGCATGGCAACACCTTCTCTCAAGGGATCAGACAGATGACTTCCCCTTACAAAGAAGAAGAGTCGTAAGCTAAACGAGAAATGCTCAAGACATAAAAAACTTGATGTACTAGTTGCAAAACGGTGCAGAAGGAGGAATGTCCATCCTAGGCTCGTGATTAGCTATCTGACCAAAGGTGCCAGCCCAAATTCACACCAGTCTGCCCCTGATCCCCTGCAAGTTTAGCCTCTGAGGCAACTGGAGAAAAAACATTAGACCTCATATAAGACTCCATCTCTCTCCCTGTGAGGGGCTGGATACCCTCTCCGGAACACCCCTCCCCCTCCGGAGGACAATCTAATGCTAAACACCAGAGGTGACAGAGTAGGAGCACCAGGCAACTCCGTGTCAATGACTGAATATATATATATATTCAAAAACGTTTCAGAAATATATTTATTCATGTAAAATAAAGAAAACAAACAATAAACTCAAGACCCAAGAAAAGGTCTAAAAACATCATTTAAAGTGCAGGTATATTCAACACTGAAACTAAAACAGTCATCATAATGTTCCGCCACTAAGAAAAGGTGAATAGGAAGTAAAAATGGGGAGCTTGTATAGAGATCTGAGCGCATTGACGTAGGTGGAGAGAATCTCAAGATTTAACTTGCTATGGGCAATATAGTGGGGTATAAGGGCTGAAGCAAGTGAGGTAAGATTCAAACCAATGATTAGATGGACAGAGAAGAGTAACTTTAGTCGGGATAAAGCTATGATGTAAAAGGAGGTAAATGTGTTTTGGAATTCAACATCAGTTTATAAAATTACTCTTTTTTATACATTAAAATTTCATCATTCCCTCTATTAAAAGAAAACTTGAAAATTTAACAGACAAATGTTTATTCTATGGACATATCATAATCAAAATTACCAATTGCATACTGTAAAGGTCAAATACATGTAGCATATGACTGTGTTGCACAACAGTGTGAAATATGTACAAATACAATACAACTAGTTGCAAGTGTTTAATAAAAACAAAGACATATTAAATCGCCAGTAACTTTTTTCATTTAATGCGAAAAGCTTCAACATAAGGAATTAATTTGTCACGAATTCTAAACAACTTTAACTGATTTTTTGAGATGCATAATATTGAAGGTATTTTATATTACATTAAAATATAACTTACATTAGATATTGTTATGAACATTATTATATATAAATTATCCCAGTTACTAGTAGTTTGTTATGTCTCATTAGGAAACAAACTTCTACACTGTTTTGATGGAAGTGAGAATTTATTCAACAATGGAATGTAAAGAAACAATGTGAGATAACACAATTTCAAACTTTAAACAAATTGTACATATAGTAATTTATACATTATGGCAAATCATTTTAACCTCCTTTATTTCCATAGTTTATATCATGTATGTATTGTATTACAGAGTTAAACCTTTTACTTGGAAATACTCTAATATTAAATATGAACAATAACTGGTATGTACATACATACATACATACCAGTTATTGTTCATATTTGGTATTAGTGTGTTTCCAAGTAAAAGGTTTAACTCTGTAATACATTATATATATATATATAAACATACATACACATAAAACATCTCAACACATGTTGAACTGATGGTTAGCTCACTAATGATAGTAAAACAACATATATCTAAAAAATTAAAAGGAAACTTTATTTGTAAAGCAATAACAGTTTAATTACAAATAAAATTTAAGAGGAAACAGAACTGATAAATATTAATACTGAAAATAGGAATTATAAACCTCGAAGCAAGAGAAACACATCTGTCAAAAAAGTACACTTACTACTTTGACAAAAAGTTAAAATTTGGTATAGTACCGACAAAAGTCAACTTAGAAGATAAGTGAGTGGTATTAAAATTTTACCAAGGTTCTAGGTAGTTGTATGTCATAGTGTACTCAATCATCAGCATTAAAACCACCTAGTTGTCTACACTTTACAGTCAAACCTGCTACAAAAATTACCCAAATATACACATCAACAGTTCAGTCAATTTATAACCAATTACTTTTGTATAAGAAAGTTGTTGAGGCCTGACTCCATCTCTGACCACTTGGGTGGAGGGCAATTAAAAAAAAATCAGACAAATTTTTAAAAACTGATATTATGGTTTTTTTAAACCACTAGGGAGAATGAATTTGGGTGGGCTAGTGTGAAATTTGGGGGTGCACGACCCACCTGAGGAATCCCCTTGCATCAGCCCTGATCTGGATAATGTAGCCTGTGGCTGTGTTACTCCAGTCCCAAATGACTAAAAACTTGTCTATGACAGCCACTTTTTCACATACATTTCTCATACAAAAGCTGCTCTATTAATACTGAAAGATACAAACGTTAAGTTTACACTATCTTTACATTTTAGACACAAAGGTTTTTACATAAAGATCGATTGTACCATGTGTGGTTACTCTATAGGCAGGTTTGACCGTAATTTAGTAAATAATAATTTCTGGAGTACATTAAGATCAACTCTGGTTAAAAGTATGACAGAATTTCTAGTAATTATTTAAAATACACATTGTATTTCCTCCTATGAAGTAAAAATAGAACACATATAAGTAAACACCTATATTGGCTATTCATTCTACTTATCTAACAAGTGAAATATGACAAACTACTGAAGTTGAAACAAACAAAACATTAAATGATACATAAGAATTTCAGATGTTTATATTCTTGAATTGACAATCTTTTATACTCTTGCTTCTGTGATCACTTGTATGTGGATTTTTTTTCTTAAGTATTTCATAAAGTTAAATAAATAAACACTGAAATTAGTACTTTAGGCAACGCTCCACAGCTGTTGCACATGAATCTATACACTTACAGAACTAAGCAGAAACAGAGATGTTTAAAATCATTAGATGATGACCTAGAATTGGTCAGTACGTCCCAAGGATTGCGTTTCTTTGTACATATTTATAATGTAATAATAAGCCTGAGAATTAAAGAAACATCAATTTTCAGATGTTAATTTAATTTGATTAAAAGAAAAGATTAACAAGTGTTGGCAACATTTAATTTCTGACTAAAAAAACAAACTGAACAGAAATAAATATCCAGATTAGTTTCTATAAACCTGTTCCCAACATTCTTGAATCTGTTACAGATTCAAGCAGAATGGGCATTAACTTACATACACACACACACACACACTGTTTACTAATCAAACCAGAAGAAAAATAACAGTATCACTGAGACCTTTACATTTGTCTATCTGATGTATACAGAACAAATGTTTTACTAACAAAACAATTTATAACAAAAATCTCGAAAAAAAAAAGACTATATTTAATACAGCATAAAGTACTTTATAAACTTAAGAAAACTGTTAAAAATTAGTTCATAATTATTTGTCTTGGACCTCAGAATACACAGGTGACACTCATTTAACCCCTGATAAACTTTGGCTAGAATAAGGTGAAAACTAAACAAAATTTATGACACAAAATAATTCAAGCTATATAAAAAAAAAAAAACTTCGCTTCTCTTGCTCTGTAGTTTTATTTTGGATGTACCTCTTTTTGGTTAATGGACATTTTTCATTACCATTTAAAGATCTATTTGTTTGTCCAGAAATACATGTAATTTCCCCAACATAATGGACTTTTGTTATTTTCAAGAAAACAGTTATAGCATACAGCACTTTAGTGTTTATCTGAACGAAGAAAAGACCCATAATGAGTACTCAACAATTTTTCTGCTTCTACTTATATTTTAAGTAAGTATTTTATTACTAACTAAAAACCATTAAAACAGCTAACTTTTCATAAATATTAGATTTTTTGTAAGAAAGAAAATGATTCCATATAAAAGTAATTTAAACACCATAAGAGATAGAACAATTTATTCTGACATCTCTCATATAATTTCTTAGATTATCATGAAATGCATTTTTAAGCCAACTAAATAACTAAGACAAATGAGAAGAAACTAAAAAAATAGGTATGTTACCTTTTCATTTAGTAAAAGAAAACAAAAACTAGAATATAATTAAGAAAAAAGAAGTAAAAAAAAAGGTGTAAAGTGTAAATTCTCCCCACACATTTAAAGAATATAATGGAAAGATAGAAGCATATTGAAAGGAATGAATCTTACAAACCCTAAACTATCATGACTGTTGTTGGTATATCAAAATTATCTCATAACATTTGCAAAGAACCTCACACTGTTTGAGATGGCTTTTAGAGACACAAAAAAAAAATCAGGAAGACCGAGGTGATAAGCTAATAGAAGGATAACTATTAAATCATATTATTTGGACAAAAATAAAGTGCTTTTCCCAAAATATTATCTAGATTGTGACAACTGTATAATGGATGTGACAAAAGCTATTTCAAGAAGGTAAGTAAAGTAAAATAATAAATGAAAACTTTATGGTCTTTAAAATAAAATCCTGTTAGAAAAAAAATAGATCAAAGAAATTGCTGGGGTAACACAAACATTTATAAAAAATGACCAATTAATTGTTTCTCTAACACACTGCTACAATTATCGTAATAATTTAACTTTATTTTAAATACAAATCTTAACTTTTCTTGTGGAACTAATTAGCTTATTTTCTTCTTGGAATTGTGAACATTTTATCAAGCGAAGTTTGTCTGTTTCAAAATGAATTTGAACTTTTATAAAATCATCTGACACTTATATAATTAAAGATCAAATGATTTTTAATTGTTTAGTTTTATTTCTGGTGGCAAAAATTCAATCAGTTATTTATGTTTCAAGTCAGAGTAATACATGCTTTATCTCTCAGGAAGCAAAAGAATTGGAAACAACTGAACATATGATTAAACATTATATGTTGCTCACAAACTTTATAATGTTACAAACAATATTCAATGGTAACCAATAAATTACAAATATATATATATATATATATACACCCCAGTTCAAAATTCTATTCAACATATACGTTGAAAAACTTTAAAAATTAGATCAAATTCACAAACTTTTTATGGTTATTTGATTAGTTCTTATTCAGAGTAAACAGATAACTTCTAATGTTCTTTTCAGTGTCAGAATTTCCTTAAGTACAGATTATCAACATCAAAGTTAGAAACCTCGAACTATTAACTATATAAATAATCCCACTCTCTCAAATTATATTCATAGCAACCTTATTCAGATTAAAAACATGAGAATAACAAACTAACGCATGCCTTGAAAAGATGTTAAGATTATTTTCAATAGTATTTTTATTTCATCAGGGGTGAAATTCTATCTATACTACTCAGCTGGGTGAAGTGGACCTGTTTTTGAAAAATAAAAATAAATTTACATATAAACAAAAAATGACAAGTTGAGTGTCAATGAATAAATGATGGAACAATGGAACACCCGTGCATCCTCCGAAAAAGCAGCTCAAATAAGTCCTGATACTAGTACTGCCTTAAAAAATATGTTTCGGTACTCAGTACTGGCAGAATTTCACCCCTGTATATGAGTAATTAGACAAAACTTCTTTCTCTTCACATTTAAACAATACAAACACAAGAACAACTAATTTACACATTCCCTGAAAAGATGTCAGGTTATTTTCATCAATATTCTTATCCAAGGAATACGAGAAAATTTCCTTTCTCTTCATATTTTTATTTTTTTTTCACTCTTTTCTGAATGGGATTAATATTTTTCAGAGTTCTTTTCTTGTGTGTGTAAATAACTGAACAATATTTCAACAAATTTTCTACTATAACTAATATATACAAACTTAAGAACAAAGAGTATACTGCTCGATAGAGTAGTAATGGCTTTTCAGGAAATTCACTCATCCCCTAATATTTTGAAAAGCATGTTTTGTTCAGTTGCTTTTGGAACTAGACTTTAAAAACAGCACCATTAGCACTCTGATAAATAATAATACACTTTTGATTGAAGCTACTGAGTGAAATCAAGTACACAATAAATGTTTAGAAATATTTCAAACTTTTATCTTCAAGATTATTATTCTCATGATTTAAAAAAGTAACAATATGACTGACCAAATTTTTTACAAAAAAATTAAAATACATGTAATTTGTTATTTCAATCATTTAACAATTAATCTGATTAACTAATGCACATTCATAAATTGTATTAAAATCACAAAATAGCACACTTTTGATTAAAGCTTATGGTAGAATCAAGTTCATAAAACATTTTTAAAAAAGAATTCAACCTTTAATCTTCCAGATTACTGTTCTTATAAAAAATAAAAAACTACCAATTCATTTTTCAACAAATATTAAATTACATTGTAAGTTGTTATTTAGATCATTTAACACTTAAAATGACTGTCTAAATTATGTATTTTGCTAACATCATTTACGGCAGCCATATTTTAGATACCACAAGGTAAATAAATGTCTGACAACATTAATGAATTGTATTAAACTCTTGAACCTTACTAAAATCACAATAATGCTAGTTGTTCCTTTACCTTGTGCTAATGGACTTAGGGTTTTAACAATCTTACAATTCTACCTGAAAAGATTATCACTCCTTCATCATAATAATGGTACACATACATCAGTTATAACCCTTAAATATAATGCATGTCAATTGAACATGTAATAAATGAGCAAAATCTGTTAGAGCACACAAAGTTTCCACAATAGGAATGTGTAACAAAACACTGATAATAGCATAGAATGAAGCGAAACTGCCATAGTAGTGATTGTACTAGCCTGTTTTGTGTCGATTTATTGCTACATCCTCTGGAGCCTACTGTTCTAGACTACGTGTACTCTTGTACAGGAAGTCGAATATTAAGCTTATTCTAACATCTTTCTCATTCTATATTTAGTGCTCAAAGATTCTAAACTGTACTTTTATGTCTTCTTTTGGGTTGAAGAATTCACTAACAGCAGACAACTGAAAGAAAAATAAATGAGTTTTAAATGGTAGAATGTGTTTCTTATATAGAGTCAATACACAGGATACTTAGGCATGCATATGCACATACAAAAAATAATGTAAAAATTCAACAGTTATCTTGTTCTCCAACTAATATTTTAAAGATCTTACATGTAACTTTGTCTGAAAATGTTCAGATTAATGTAAGTATTCTGTGTATGTTATATATATTCAGCAAAAAGCAACCAAGATTTCATGTTTTTGTTAAAATAAACTTAATTTTGTAAAGATTTTAAGGCTCTTTTCTGGCTTGCAGTAATTATTTACAGAAGTTGGACACAATAATTGATGCACACTCTCTCTCTTCTGTAGCAAAAGAGAATGATAAGCTCAGTGTTCAAAATTTGTTATTAGAACAAACAAATATTGTTAATCAGTAAATTAAGATTTACAAAACCTTTTGCTCTTTGATTTGTAGTATGAATATATTACTTCATTTATTGCAGCCATCTTTCAGATGCCACAAGAAAAAAAAATGTCTAACAACATTCATGAATTGTATTAAATTTCTTATAATAATTAATTACAAATTAATTATTAGATATTTGAACTTAATAATAATCCAGGACGACATAATTATAATGACCATATTAATCTGTTTGACACTATGAATGAAGGAGGGTTACATGGGAATGGTAGATATAAACATTTTTTGGTAGTGTTTCATAAACATAATGTAGTATTTGAGCAAGGTATTAATATAGAAAAAATATATATAAATTTTAAAAACTTACCAGCCTTGGCAATCAAGTAGATGAAAGCTCAACATGTTCCTATTGAATGCATGGAAAAACAATTTGAGATTCTAAGTAAGAGGTTTTGTTTAAATGCACAATAACTACGATGAAACTTTTTCTTTAAGTTTAAATCGCATACCATACTATAATCAAATTGTAGAAGTACTAGCTGACATACGTGACCAGTAAACTTGGAAGATGTAAGAACCACCCAGGGGATGACATAAGAGAGTCAGATCCAAATGCCAACTGTTCCTCCCCTTGGAGGCACTAAAGGGTACATACCAGGTTTGGTGACAATCGGTTGAGCAGAATGCCAGTGATAAGCACATACACACACACACATACAAAAGCTTTTGTTAAATGATGGTTTAGATGTCTGCTAATATCTAAACACACCTATTTATATTTTAAAGATTGTTTTTCCCATAGAATTTCATGGTGTAACTTTTGATGATATCATCAAGTTTCTCTTTTTTGATACATGAAGTCATTATGACTGTTATATAACCAGTGTCTTGTTCTGTGACATCTTTGGTATTACAAAATAACAGATATCTCTAAAAGAATGGTAAGAAAAGAGACATAACACTGCAGCTTATTATGTTTATCATAAATAAATTTCATCTAAATATCTTGTTACTTCTAAGGTGTACTGATAATAACAATAATAAACTGATTAACTACCATAATTAATGCAAATTTCTAATGTCATTTTTGGAAAATAAATTTGTAACAACATTCATAAACACATGCATCAACAGAACCAATTCTACTTTGAAATTCATCAGAACCAATTTTATTTTGAAATTCATCAGCAAGTTTATTAATGGTACATATAGAACATGTTTCAGTTATCATATTGAATAAAGTGAGATAATACTCATATTTTATTTCTTGACTCAAGACCATAAGTAAAACATCCACACTTATGACAAAATATAATGAACACATACAAGTTGAAATTTATGGTTAAAGACCAGAGTTGTACATCTTTTATTCTTTGCCATAAATTATTTTCACTTCAGACTATTTTATTGCACAAACTGTAATTTGATAATTTTATATTGTTTGTGAGAAATTAATTTTTTCTTACTTTTCCTGTTTGTTGACAGTAAATTCCTATAGTGTTTCTGTTTACTATAACTGTGTTTTTTTAAACCAAAAGAATTATGATGACCTGTAAATAGGTCATTACTTAAAGAAATCAGCAAAAAGTAAAATTACCAACAATAGACCTTTTTATCTCATTAGTGCCTGATCTCTAGCTGAAACATGTCACAATTTTTACCTTAACAACTCATAGCTAAAGTCAACTTACTGTTACTGTTACTTAAGCCTTCTAGAACTTCCTTCTCAAGGCTCTGGTCTTCAAACAAATCCAATGAACAGCTGCTTGTCAGATGGCGACGTTTATATATCTCTTGCATTCTTTCCCAATACATTTTGTTGGTAGCTACTGCTTGGGCTGTTTCTTCAGCTTCCGGGAACAGTTTGGCTAGCAACCTACAGGCAGAAAGAAAGCCATCAAATATGTTAACAGAGAAGAGTGACATGCTCTAATTAGGAGTTGAACAAACCCCAAAGAGACACACCATCTAGATCATATATGTACATGTTTGTGTGTATGTACTTATGTTTGTCTGTCTTTTCTGTTATATCTCAATAATCATCTTGAATGCTGCTATTAAGGTTTACCCCCACAACATCGAGTATCTGAATCTCTTTACAGAATACTTATGAAGTGTTTGTTGATAGCTGTAACATTAGCTCCTTCAAACAGATGTTACTTATATATGTGTCATCTAAGGTACGTGTGACAGTTTTTTAATGACTTATTTAGATGGAAGGACATTTAATTGTTGGAAAGGGTTCAGAAAAGGACTACTAAGATGATAACTGGGATGAAAAGGTTGTCATGTGAGGACAAGTTAAGATTTCTAAAATTGATAGTTTGATGCATAATCTTTTTTCATACTTGTTGATGAGAATGGTAGGACTTGAGGACATAAATATATATTTTGGCAGGGTAGGAGTCATTTTTAGCTAAGACAGCTATATTTTTCTAACAGGTTGGTTGGCCTTTAGAATGGGTTGCCTTCAAATGTGGTGGAAGCAATTAATTTAAGGGAAGGTTTGATAAATATTTGAATGATAATGGCTGGCTTTGAGTGTTTTATTTTATTTTAAAGTTTATTTTAGTGAATGGGAAGGCCAAGGTAGACCAACAGGTTCCCTCGACTTTAAATTACATGTACGTATACATACATAATTCAGACTTCACCTTGTGACTACTTCAAGTAATGCTACGACAAGCTGTGTTTCATGTCAAGTTCCTTGCAGAGCAGGTTTTAACAGTAAAATGACTTCAGAACATGTCTTATGATGGACGAAATCTCAACTTAAAAAGATAAAAAAATTTCAAGGTACAAAAGGAAACTGAGTAACTACGAATGGTGCAGCATAACTGATTCTCTGATTTTCAGCATTTCCTCAGATTACTACAAAACATAACACAACCATGTTATCCAGCTATAGCAGTTGGACTTGTGTTATCCACTACTTCACAAACCTATCAACACAGTGGTAGAGCAAATATCCCAAGAAATACTGCATTAGGCATATACCTCTAGTGATGAAATACTCTTATATATATTTCTTTGTTCAGATAAACAATAGAAAACCACATTAGACATGTACAAACACTATAGCAAAACTTAACAATCAATAACTTGATAATTTTTCAGGATTAAGTTTTTATAATTCCAAATTCAAATGTGGTAAAATGTAAATGCAGTTTTGACATTTTCAAAAATATTATCTTTCTGTTTTGGAAGACCTAAGACCTATTGTGAAGTCACATTTTCATTATCTAAAGTTCTAGCTTGGGACACACTAAATCCAGTCAAGGTCACAATAAATTCTGCTCTAGGTGATGCCTTCTGTAGCAGGGTCCAATCACCAGTCAGGTGACCAACTAGATTTCTCTATATTAAACTTAGGATATTAAAACAAGTATAACTCATAACTAAATTACTGAAATTTTAGAAGTTCTTGGCAGTCAATGGCCAGGCTATTGAACTTGAGGATACCAAACAGTGGGCTACTATTAAATAGCTAAATTAGTGAACTCTTCAATTACTATTAAACTTGTTCCTGTCTCTGTGGGAACATGACATATTTGACTGCCAGGCATTCTTCTTTTATGTTTAAGATTAGTTACTGATATTGTTTCAATTACTTGAGAGTAATTTTTCATGCCCTACATTTTTATTGGAATTGTTAATGTTATGTAAAAGTTGCGATTGTACAAAATTTACAAAGTTAGGCTCACTGACTGACATCCTTCTTACAATTTAATAAACACATATGGAAAATTTTATGTATTAGCTATAAATAAAGGTATTTATTGAGAGCTTTCTACCTTATAGTAAGTTAACTTGGTTGAGAAAAAAAGGTGCTACTATAGCGTGAGGTCTACCGCTATATGTCGCCTACCCAGGTCTATCAAACATGTATAAAAATGTATCAAATTAAGTGTTTATCGCTAAAATAAATGTATGGAAATGTGTGATATCCATGAGGGATGGATAATGTAGCGGTAGACCTCACGCTATAGGCAACATATGGCGGTAGACCTCACGCTATAGTAGCACCGAAAAAAACTTATAAACTTCTTTGACCACAGATAGGAATGTCAGTAATTTGTTGCAGAAAGGTAACAGGATATGAAGAAATGAAACTGTTTTATTTATTCTGTAGTTTAATTCATCACTACCTATAATTCTGGTATTACATACGAGCCTTATAGCTTAGTTAGTATATATAAATACAAAAGCCACTTTGTATCTGAGTCATCTTATGGTGATGCAAAGATCTCACATGATTGGTTGATTTGGATGCATATGTTCAAATTCAACCAATCATTTTGAGATTGAGCACTAATTTGTAGTCATCATATGTTATGTGAGTGTTGAGCTGTAAACTTCAAGCATTTTGTTTGAAGTCTTTCATGTTCCCATTATTTTAATAACTACTTGTGCCCGTGTTTCCGACACTTCCATACATGAACATATTGATAGCTTTAATCCTATTAGTTATATAGGTATATAAGATTATATATGCAATATTTGTATAAAAATACCAACAATATGTGAAAATAAGCATGGTTGCTCAAAGTGAGCTATAAGCAGTAGCAAAAAGGTTAAACAGCTAAATTACTGGGCTGTAGATTATGATGCATTGGGCAACCAGCAAGTAAACAGAAGAATTAAAAAAAAAGTAAGATTTGGTGAAAGGACCTGAAGAGCAACATAGTGTAGATGTCATCCCTGAACGAAATAATAGCTAATATGCACAACAGCATCAATGATTGCTCTTTTTTTCCTTAATCAAAGTTGAAAACTTTTTTAGAAAATTTAAGTAACACGGTAGTAATTTACACAACAGAAACTGAAATTTTTTTTAATTTCTGTCTTACTCATAAACAGGTTGAACTATTGTCTGGAGAAAGGCAATTTGTAGTTGTGGCACACAAGCCTTTTCTCTGTCCATCATCTCACTTGGGCTGTTTCCCATTGCCTTCTCAAGGTCTCCTTGTGAAAAAAATTCACTATACACTTGTTTCTGGAACAGAATTACACAATAATCAATAGAGAATTTTCACTCAGAAAAATACTACAGATCTTTTAATTTTAAAAATTATGGAAGATAAACACCAAAATAAATAAATATAATTTCATCAGTTAACCTAAACAAATGTCACAAATAGGGAAGGATCACTTGAAGAACGACAGCTGGTTTTAAATGTTAACAGTCAGCGAATGTATAATATACCTGTAACAGGTACCAAGTTTGTTGTGGTATACAATTTTAAAGATATATGTTTTATTTTACTACAGAACAGAAAAAAGTACACATAAATTATACAAAAATGTTAGAGCAAATTGTATTTAGAAATAAAAATGTATTACATGATACGTTTTTCCTACCTTCTGTAAATTGCAGAATTCATAAATATCCACACAAAATTTACTTGTTTATCTTAAATTAAACTGAAAACTGACTTCTATGCAATGAAAAACCATAAGATGTAGCATCACCTTATATGCATTAGCTGATAATCATGCTTTCCATCACATGGTCATCTTCAGATTATCTTAACCAATCAAAACCTTTGATTGAATAATCTAACAGGAGTTGTCTTTTTTTCCTTGTTATTTCTGTCAACACTTTACAGCAGTTTGGCAAGATGTATGAAATACTCATTTTGTTTGTTTTACAAAGAAAATCATGATTACAGTTTAATACATGAAAGAAAAAACGTGTTTTGATCACTGTTATTAGAGAATTTAAACACGGTTAACTAATGTGCTATAAATTCTCAAACCTAAAGGGGAAAGTAAAAATATTAAAGCAAGTCAGTTTTTAAAACTAATCAACTTATAACATTTAATTATTAACACCATTTATTTTGAGAAGAATTAATTTACTTCTTTGCCAGTTTCTAGAGGAAAGAACTTACAGCAATTTTCTTGGAACTAGGCCAGTCCTTTGTCTGATCAGAGAGGTCACATGCTGTAACAAGCAGAGAGAGCAGCAACTTGTGATGCTGGGGATCATCAGAACTGTAGCCCACTAGAAGTAAACATCTGGTTTCAGCTTACGTTAGTATCTAACACGATTAGCTAAACAATAGTGCATTATGAACTAACGTCCACGAAGTTTACTCCAATATGATACTTTTAAAGAGCAATATTAACATAATACCCATTCAATAACTATATTTAATGGTTGGTATTACAGGAAGGTTTCTTTGAAAATTTTTACTCTAGACAATCTGGACAACTTTTGAGATTTTTCAGACCTCCACATATGGTGTACATGACACACTGGTATTTAACTTTTCCGCATAATTCTATCATCACTTTAGCTTGCAATCTGGTTATCCAGGGAAGGGAAGTAAAAGCTTCACAAAATACATACTTCAGTCTATCTCTCACGGTGCAGAGAAAGTTCGGATATTGTAACTTGAGGGGAGATTGTATTTATAACATATTCTAGAATATTGGATTTTATCTGTCATCAAGTATAATGAATTAAATAATTTTCATTATATATATATATATGTTATTGTTATGTGAATGACACAGGTTAACATACATCAGTAACTGCCACAGCTATGCACATTGGTATGTACATCCAGGTTCTGATATAGAAGAAAAAAATGTGATCCATATAAGCAATGTTAACATTGCTAGTTCACCTTAAGTTACTAAGATTATCTGCCATCATCCTTAATTTTGAACTACTGACCAGAGGGAAGCCAACCAGTCAACAGCACCCAACTACTCACCATCCACATTAAGATAGAATTCATTACAACAAGCAAGACTGCCATCAGTTCAGAAGATAAAAACCTTTAACAATGTTGGTGTATCATCTTCGATCAGTGTGGTCCAACTGGCAGCCTGCGAGTGACATCCAGCTTCACAAATGAATTTTTTCAGCCCATACACTCTCTATATTAATTAAGCTAACTTTAAAGTTTATGCTTTAAAAAAGTTACTGATCAAATGAATTTAGATATGAGAGTCCGATTCCAGTAAGTGATTTGAATAATAGGTTATGACTCTTCATAGTTTACATTGTCTATATCTTATTAATTAACCTAGTTCACATACGAGTCGCACAAGCAAAGAGCAAGATTTTAGCTGGCACTCTTGAGAAGAGTTTTGTAAAACATTAAACTGTAAATTTCTTTTTTCAAAAAGGAAAGTTTTTAGATCTCAAGTTTAATATGTAAACACTATAAATGTGCATTGGAAAAACCTGTATTATATACATGAGGTACAACAAGGATAAGGGACACTTACAATGGTTTTAAGTTTAATATATCTCAAAACAGTAGAAGAAATATTCTTTAATCAAAATACGTTTTTAGTAAAATTTAATATGGGAAAATCATTAATACTTACCTCATGTCACAAAAGAATGAAAGTTGCAAATTTATACAATCTGAGAATAATACACAAAGAAATTTCTTTATAATGCCATTGTGACTAGTTCTTTCATCGAAGCAAAACTTAGGCTAGATGAAACCCTGAAAGAGTCAGTCATGTTACTTTTCATTGTGTATGAAATGTACTTTGGTACTCTGTCTTAATGTAACAAAAATTACAGAGAAAATGATTCCCCTGTGCTTGAGTAATTACATTACTTGATTTACTTCCTTCCTGGTTCTCTGTGCTTGAGTTATTGCAATATTTAATTGTCCTCCCTCATGGTTCTCTCTGTTTGAGTTATTGCAATAGTTGATTGACTTCCTCCTTAGTTCTTCGTGAATCTACTGTGAGTGACTGTGATATATGATTGACTTCTTTCATGTTCCTCTTTGTTTATGTCTTTATGATATGTGACTTCCTTAATAGTTCTTCTGTGCTTGAGTGATTACCATATTTGAATAACTTTCATTATGGTTCCTCTGTGCTCAAATGATTGCTATATCTTACCTCCTTCCTGGTTCTTTTGAGCTTGAGTGATTGCAATATTTGATTGCCTTCCCTCATATTCTTTTCTACTCAAGCGATTGTGATTTTTGATTTCCTTTTTCCACAATATCTTCTAAGTTTTCTGTTAAAATTTTACATTTAGATATTTTTTACATCAATGTAGATTTCTCTAATTTTTTCCAGATTTGTAGGATGAACATGATCTTACCTTCTGCCATTTCACCAATGTCTTTCATGATACGTAAGTGATGAGCCAAGTCTGTTGCTAGTATAATATCCCTCATGTAATCCAAACATTTAGTATAGTCCTGCATAAAAGACATTAAAACTGTTTCACAACTGAATATTTGAAAGTTTTTATTTAATTTATTAGTAAAAATCTTAAAACTATTTCATGACTTAAATAAAAATTACAGTTCACCAACTTAATCTGCTCACACTGGAACAGTTATTGTTCAAGTAACACACATATATTAGAATAGCATATCAATCAATATCACACCCAATTTCCTTTAGGAAATGCACATAGCATAATGTTACATATGCATGATTGAAAACGTATGGCTTGTTAAACAAAATTTGCACAAAGACTATTACAATGCCAGTTTAAAAACATCTAAGTTTCTTCTGCACAAAGTACTAGTTTATAAAATAGAAAAACAACGACTTAAACTAATGAATCTATTTGGTGTCAGATTTTTACCTTTTTAGATAAACTTTCAAAAACATTACATCCATCAGTGTTGATAATGGCCATAGCCTGTGCAAAGTGGTGCCTCTAAATAAAGTAAAACATTATTTATTGTATAAAAACAAGTTCTGTACTTATTAGGAACTATGTTGAAACTTTTCCAATTAGGCTAAAAAAAAAGATTACATTCAGTATAAATACCTAATAATTCTCTTAAAAAAGATGAAAATTTCTTTTGAAAATGTATTGTGACAGTTTTTGAAGGGCATCTGTACTGGAAAGAAAGAACTAAGATACTGACTCACACTAAATCAACTTTTTTAAAGATGTATTGACAAATTTTTTGATGTCAAAGATAAGAAAAATAAAAGTCATTAAGTAACTTCAGATTTCTGATATATAGATCAAAATAAGAAAAATATTACTATAAACAATAAGCACAACTTAGATGAGAACTAACAATCATTATAATGAAGAATAATGTTTTCCTTACACCTTATGATATGGCTTACATAAAAAATTGAGTTTGATAGTTCTGGAACAGGGTCATCATTTATGACTTGCACCAAAAATTTATATAAAATATAAATAGATAAAACTACTTAAAGATAATAAATTGGAAATAAATGTATACCAAATTAAGCAACATAAAAAAAAACAGAAAGGAAAGACAAAAACTAATGCTTTTAAAATTAATTTTTAGCTCACTATAGTATTAAATGAATCAAAAGACATATCAATAAATATTAATAAAAGATATTTAATAAAATGAATGGCTAAAACAGCATAAAGATTATTATAAGAATGATTCTCCAAACAATTCTTTTTTTCGATAGATGAAAATCAACCATTTATTGAAATTCTTCATTGTGTAACAGTAAAAGCTGACACACATAGCCTATATACAGGAACATTTATCAAAATATTTATATTATAACAGATGTCAGGTGTGTTTTGTAACAGTGGTTAAGGAATTATTAATTTCTACTACTACTGTTCCTACAGAAGCTACTTTAAAAAAAAACCTCGGCAGTTTGTTGACTACAAAAAAACATATCACCTCCATGACTGAGCCCTCTGAGCTATACAATGCTGCCAAAACAGATTTCTGCAAAAGAGAATAAAACAAATAAGAAATATTAGTTTTTTGGAAGATGCCAATGTACTGCTGTTGTTACATGTTGTTAGAGGTTACATATTGATGTTTTGTTATATGTCATAATATGAATACATTTAGGATCGAATAACAAATTATTATAAACAGTACCCTGATTTCTGGTCTGTCAGACCCACAACTATGAACTTTGTATGCAATCAAATCCTCGGTCAACTGGCATGAGGAGAAAAAATAGGAGGTATATGGAAGGTTTTGTCAGAAATTGGTCGATAAACTAAAAATCATAGTTAATATGATCATTTCCTGCTTTGATATTATCAAAGAATATTTAATTTCCAAGCTATTTTGTGTACAAGTATACATTCATAAATTTAAACATAAATTACTTAAAGAAGCTCTGCTACTTTAAATTACAAAGCCTAATTTATCAACTTATGATATTTTTAACTGTCCTTAATTTTTATGTTTTGGCTCAACTGTACTAATTATCTAAGTAAATTTAAATGCTATCAGGCAGGATATATTAAGAGGATATATGACAAAAGAAAAACAGATTTAAGTTAAAAATAAAAAATCTGGAATTATAATAATATCACATGCACTGATTTGCTAAGTATGTTATTTAAACAACGCATATAAATAAAACAGGCTGCATCTTAGCAACAAAGCATTACAAAAACAACTAATTCATACTTGTTATAAGATCTACCAATATACTTTAGATAAAATTAGACTCTTATTTTCTTTCTGGTTAGTAATTTGAAAAACTTTTTTTTTAATGGAACACTGTAATACATGTATATAAACCTAAACCTAAAAATAAATAAATTAAAAAAATCCATCCTTTATTATGTAAGTGTTTGCAAAAAAAATAAACACATTTTTCAATAGCTTTTGCAAAACAAAATCCTTGTTCAATACACATATAAATCGTATTTTCAGTACAAATGTTTACTTTAGAAATACACTGTTTATCAAAATAGACATTCCAAGATTATTTGCTTTGCTATTTGTTTTATACATTTTATGTACAACAGGATGAACCTCATAAACCTCCACTATAAATATTTTGCCTGCTAAATATCAAACAGGTTTTTCAAGTACATAAAAATTCTGTTACCTCTTGTTTAGATGTTCCTGAAAATTAGGAAGGCCAGAATTGACTGACTCAAATTTGTATATACCACACCAATCATAAATTATGCAGCTTCTACTTTTCAATTAAATAATACTTATTTTCTCTTTGTTTAAATTCTAAAGAATGATATGCTAACTAATTAACTAACTAACTCATTTTATCAATTTATTTACTTTGCTTAAGTATATTTCACTTATTTTCAATTTGTCATCATAATGAATTATCTCTAAATTTGTCTTTTACCGTTTTTATTTGCAACTTATTGAGCATTCGCAAAAGAACCATTCACAAAATAATTTCATCACAAAACACAAGTTTCTTCTGTAAATTTTTGTTTTTAAAAGATTTCAATCAATTTTTGAACTGTTCTGCTAATTTTAGTTATATGTTTACATCTAGGTTTTTGAAGATTATATATATATATATATATACCTACTGATGCAAGTTGGAATGAGTTGTTTGTCCCTCGATGGTCCAGATCATGACACATACAAGCTACAAATAATGCAAAGCCTTCTATATGCCTGAAAAGGTTAAATAGTAACATGTTGACATTATTTTTTTGTAATTTACCTGAAAAATCAACATATGAGCTACAGTTTATGGTTAAAGTCTAGATTTTTGCGCATGTATTCTTTAAGTAGTTATTAAACTTTGAAGAATATTGTTTAAATGTCAGTGTTTCTTTATTCATTTTGTTTTCTAAGTCATTTTTCCTTATACTTTATGATTTTTGGAGAATCATGCATTTATAAGCACAAAAAATTATGCTACACTAGAATACATTTAGGTTAATTACTGTGAATAAAATTAATTACTAATATCTAAAGAAAATGAGGGAAAACTTTTGATAATGAAACTCATTGTATTAAAACATCCAAGTTTTATAACATTCTCTTAGCAGATTTGCACAAGGTGCATATATATATAATTTGCTAACATTATTCATCAAATATATGAAGCAGGTTATCACAGAAGAGTGTCTAAAAGTTTACATAAGAATATTTTCAAGAAGAAAGGCTAGGTTATAGTTTTCAAGCTCTTTTACTATGTATGTACTTCAATATTATTCTAATCTTCGTTAAGTAAGCAGTTCAGTTTTACAAGAGAATGATATTAAAACAATAAGTATGATTAAACAAATAAAAAAACAGTGCATATTATGGTAAATTCCCATCACAAAAGCTAAAACATTTAATCTAGAATTAACAAATAAGAGAACATATCGTAAACTAGAGTAAATCAGATGTTTAAATACCGTATATTTTACATCTACATAAAATGAAATAATTACAAAACTTAAAAAAAAACTTCATGATGGGAGTTCCATCCTTTGAATTTCTGTGTAACAACAACAGTACTTACTTTAGGTAAGTTCCCATCAAACGAAGGTTATTAAGCAGCAAAAAACAAAAGTGCGAAACAGCAAATGCATGCATCCAATTATGGTATGGGGGATTTCTATAGCCTCTACTAACCATTAGTATAAATCTGAAAAAAATAAATAAAACAGTTTTATTTTTACAGAAGGTGTTATTGGTACAGCCATAACTTGTATTTAATTTTTTTTTTTTATGATAACAAATTTCATATATTTTGTTAACACACTAAAAATGCTAATTCACTTTAAAAGTTAAGCACATGCTCAAATTAATTTTGTTTTTTAGTATCTGCTTTGAGTTCTGGGTTTCTTGGTTATCTGATTTGTGTTAGTCAAGCACACTACATTGAAGAGTGTGATCCAGACCTCTAAGTTGAAAATGTTAGAAGATTAAATGTATGAAATGTAGAAACCTTCTAAAATTCTTCTTTTCTTTAAACCTCAAGAAAGCCATCTATATACCTTATGAACAATATTCACAGACACCCCCCCACCCACACACACACAAACACACATTAAATTCTTTTTTGGGGAGGGGAAAGAAAAAAAGTAATACAGTATTGACAATTGAAGAGAGAGAGAGAATTATTTACTAATACTATTTTAGTATCTTACTCTTAATAAACAGTCAGAGCAATGAGGTATGATGGAAGTGGAATTAAGTGGAAGTGTAGATATGGAGGACATGAGTTAAAGTCAAAATATAGGAATAACTCTTCAAGATCTACATAATAGTATAGATATTGAGGACATGAGTTAAAGTCAAAATAAAGGAATAACTCTTCAAGATCTACATAACAGTGTAGATATTGAGGACACAAGTTTTGCTTATGCACAATATTCATTAACCTTGACATCATTAGAAAGGTTTCTTTTATTGAGTAAAAAAAATTACATTTCATATTTCTAATCACTAAGACATTGTACACATGCCAGTTATAGACCACATTTGTATTAAAAATGTTCACAACTTCAAACAGAGTTTGTTAACTTTTCGATAAATAAATCTTTTATGCATGACAGCTTGAAATGCCAAATGGATTAGTAGATACCATATATATATTAGTACAAATACCATATATATTAGTAGAGATAGCATATATATTAGTAGAGATAGCATATATTAGTAGAGATAGCATATATATTAGTAGAGATACCATATATATTAGTAGAGATACCATATATATTAGTAGAGATACCATATATACTAGTAGAAATACCATATATTAGTAGAAATACCATATATTAGTAGAGATACCATATATATCAGTAGAGATACGATATATTAGTAGAGATACCATATATTTTAGTAGAGATACCATATATATTAGTAAAGATATCATATATTAGTAGAGATACCATATATATTAGTAGATACCATATATATTAGTAGAGATACCATATATATTAGTAGAAATACCATATATATTAGTAGAGATACCATATATATCAGTAGAGATACGATATATTAGTAGAGATACCATATATTTTAGTAGAGATACCATATATATTAGTAAGAATTATCTTTTTATCATTATAAATCTAGTGCATTTAGTTTCCATCATTTAACTACAATTGTATCATGCTATTTTCTTTGTAAGTTGTAAATAATTTAGTAAATGAAGTGGATAGTTTATGTTGTTTAATACTTATTCCTTACCTCGACAATGTTTCT